TCTGGGGATTGTGTTCGTCGTGTGTGGTTTTAATGGCATCAAACCATGTGTTTGTTCACCTGATCCCCATTTTAGCTAGGTCATCGATGCGTTTTAATGAGTTTCTTCAACCGAGGCCATCACAAAGTTACAACCCGAACTAACTGCTTCTGATTACATAGGAGAGAGTCTAGTGTTTGGATAGCGACCGCCTCGGCTGTGCACAGAATGATAAGCGCAAGTCGTTTTGGCAGACTTGAAGGCGTTTGATGAATGATGCGGATAGCTTGGTCATCATTACCTGAGTACTGTCTCCGGTATGTGTTGGCAGATAGCATTTTTCGCTGTCCTCGTCTCGCCAAGTCTGTTCAGCGATTGTAAATGTTTTAAGCCACTCTTGTTTGAGTCNGGTTTTATTAGTATCGTATACACTACCGGTTGCGTGGGTCTCTCTATAAAGCTTTTATCTATGGAACCATCCAGATAACCGTTTTCGCGAATAAAGTTCTCTACTCGTTCAATCTCTTCTGTTACGGCGTTGAGCAAGCACATGTGCAGTGCCCTTAGCGCGAATGAAGTCCACATATTGCTCGATCTATGCTGGTTGTTCGTATACTGTGTTTCGGTTCGATAGGACATTCAGGAATAGGGGACTCGGTAATTATGCGCCCTCTTCGTGATAATAAAGTGTGAAGGACATTTGATGATTCTATCGAAAAACAGCTTGTTTGGCCTACCAGACTTTGTTTTCAGTGATTGGAATATGTTGGAATGAATTTGTTGAGACACTGGAACATGGTTTAGTTAGGTGGACGGTTTGTGGCAAACAACGTGTGATGTTGAGCTTATTACTGAGTTCGCCTAGTATAGGGTTGATGTTTTCTGTTCCCAAATGCCAAAAGTTGAAGAATCGAATCCTGGAAGTGATGCATCTTGTTGACAAGTACTAATGAGGATAATGGGGGCAAGAACAAATCATAAACTCTTCGATTTCGTCTGATTAATTTGATCCGAGACTAAATTTTCGAATCAAAACCTTTCTTTGGTCTGGTTCTGTTCCCCGGAGATAACCACAAAAGTTTTATAAGAAGCGAGAGCTGAATTGAAAAACTCACCATCGGAAGAAAGCACATCTCCGTATATGTGTTGCCAACAGCAATACTTGCAGTCTGTAGTTTGAATTAACCAACTCAATTAACGATCAAACTAACAGTTACTGCTGTTTCCGCATTTTACGCATTGATTCACTCACTCGAACAGGTTTACCCGCAGCCATTTCGGCCAAACTTCCTCGAGAAATTTTCCCCGATCGTGTTTTCGGCAATTTGGGCACGAAGCAGGCCTGGTTGAACGCAGCCACTGGTCCAACAAGTTCACGAATGGAATCGAATATGGCCTGCAGAATCTCCTCGTTCGATTGCTTTGTATGGGGATGTTTTACCAACACACCGAAGGGTACGTGACCTATACGAGAAAACAGAAGAAAGAAAAAAAACAATTCACAGTTCAAATCCTAGACGGGACGGTGGATGTACACCACACGCATCTATAGTGATTCCCGGGCATGTGCGGTTGAATGTGTGAACTGAGGATGGTGCGTGAAGATGGAGCCTGAAGGATGGTCAAATGAAATCAGTAAAGTTTATCCCAAACTACTGCTCCTAAGCAACTGTGTATTAAAAATGAAAAAGTACTACAAAACTTTCGCGAATGGAAGTCAATAGTAGGTAGTTGAAACCGAATAAAAAGGAGTCATCGATAAAAAAAGTGTTACGGTGTTATAACACCGAATGTCAGAAAACAACTGCCGCCCGCCACGGATCTTTCTTTGAAAGTCACATATGAAAGCTAAAATCCAATTAGCAATCAATACTATGTATTCTGTTTTATCTATATCAGAGGGAAACTAACAGCGGAAATGCAAACCGGTTAGTTACAAGCGTTTGCAATACAGGGGTACTCAAAACTCTTCAATATAAACTAACAGCCCGGTAGTTCCGAGAAAGGTAGTAAAAGATGAAGAGACAGGAAGACAGTAAAATACACGCAAGAGACAGATGGTGCACAAATTATATTCCTACGTTGGACTACTCCGGGAATCACCCACAGTATCCTAAAACGCCTCGGCTTGAAAATGACCGGTTTTTGCTGAAGCTTGCTGAATAAAGGTGTGATATATTCAGAGCACCGGCGTCAATAATAGTAACGACCCGACAATGGGTAAACCAAAAGACAGGTTACGGGTGGAAATGGTATACAACCCCATAGATTTATGGTGAAACGTACAGAAACATGAATCACCCTAAAACATTTGTGCAGCCAATCTAAGGAAAACACGAGTGCAGTTAAACGCTACCCCAGATGTGGAAACCT